TCATTCTTCCTCTCCAGACCACTCCTCAAGCAATAGCTTCCTCTTCTGCTTTTTCTGTGGGTGGGTGGATGAATGGTTCACATAGGAAGATTAAACTGCTACAGCTTGTTCCCATGTTTGGATTTGGCTGCCTGTGGCCCATAAATGGCTTCTCTCATGGATCAGTGCCTCAAAGGGCCTCTCTTATTTTTCAAGCTTCAAAACATTACAAGATTGAAAATCTGTAAGAATGTATAAGTACGATATAACTCTCGTTTCCATGAAGGATTCATCCCCAGACTTCCCGTGGATATGCAAAACTGTGAATAATAGTGTACCCTATTGAAATGAAGAACTTCTGGCCCAATAATACCATAGAGGTTTCCTGCAGGTCCTAGAAAATGCCTAGAGAGAACAGATTTAGTTGGACATGGATAAATGAAACCATGGACACCAGTCCCACAGATATGGGGGTCAGACTGTAGTTTATATAGAAGTACATGAAATCTAATACAATTTTTTCTAATGACTTTGACTGGTTGCCAGTGAATGCCATTTTTGGTAAACATGGTTTGCCCATACATTCCATATTGGCTTCTAGTAGAGGAATAGCACAAGCTTTTCTCCACCACATTCCTCACTTCATGTAGAAACCCAGATCTTCATATGAAAGGCTGTATAAATGTCACATTTCACTCGGTCCTTGCTTTCAGTTATATTACACGAGTGAGACCATTGTACCCATTCGATTCCAGAAAGAGCAGTTATAGTGTCCTGAGGAGGACTTGCAGGCTTTTCCTCATGAAATGAGTCTCTGAACTGGAAAGTACACGAATGAGTCCAGAATCCTTTGGATAAATATGTTCTTTTTTCCTCTGCCACACCCCACCCTAACAGTTCTTTGGGTGTATTCTCATCTAAATTGTTCATTATATTAATTCCCCTTTCATGTTTCTCTCCTGTTCTCAATACATCTATATTCTCAATACCTCTAATCCCAATCCTATATAATACCCCCAGGGTCCTTCCAGTGAGATTCTGTTTCAAATATTAAGCTATCAATTAGCTGAGCAAACAGCAGCTTCTGGTCTTGAGCTACAAATTTCTAAATATAGTTCTCAAGGAAGGATCATATTTTGTAGAACAGGGGAAACAATTGCTGGCAGATGGGAGCACCAGCCTGTCTTTCCAGGGGACTCCCTGATCTTTGCATAAGGAACAATGTAAATCAAATACTCAGTCTACATCCTATATTCCATGTTTTGTCAGATTGCTTCACCTTTGCTCTTACCAGCAGTTTACTTGGACTGTGAGTGGCTGTGTACATATGTGAATGTATTGTTGCTGTTACCCTAAAGCCAAGGAATTTTATCAAGATGGCAAAGATTAGGCAAAGAAACAGGGAAACCATACACATCCAAAGAAATGAGAGGGCTCCATGATATGTTGAAATTTTTGCCTTTCTTAATCTTAAAACACAAATTTCCAAGGGAGGGCACAACAACGAGCATGTTAAATACAATATCAAGTAGATAAGCGCCTTTTTTCATAAAGAAAAGGACAAGTTTAGGCAGATGCTTGCAGTCTGTGATTGGATTATGATATAAAGATTGACAACCTCACGCAGCTGTGTAACTTTGTTTTGAACTACGGGACTTGTTGTGGAAACAAGGATTGGTGATAAATCCTTGGTGGAATCACCTTTTCTCTACGATAACCCTTTCAAGAGTGAATTTCCCTTCCAAGGGGTAGATTTCTCTCACTTCCTGTTGTCTCACTTCTATTCCTAACCTTGAGTTATTTGTAAATTGGATGTTTGTAACTTGAGGACTGCCTGTACTGAGAACTGGCTAGAATAAATGTATAGGATTTTATGCAAAACAAAAAAAATGTTAAATTTGGGAAGGATTTGCATGAAAAGTAATATGTTAAAATTGATAAAATGATTTTAATTTTAAAAAGAAAGAGGAAATATTGATGTATTGATGTTGGACACAGACCTGATTTGTGTTTAGTTTCCTTTGGAATGTGGTCATGGATAGCTTATAGCTCATTATTCTGTAATACTAGAATTTGGCTGATTTTATCTATAGGTATAGCTGAATGTTCTAAGAGACATGGAAGCCCACTACACCCAGATGTCAGATCTCCAGATAGAGGCATCTCCACCCCACTTGGCATTTTTCTAGAGTTGCACAGACCAGAAGTTAGGTTTCTGGATCCTACCCCCTCCTTGACTCCCTGAAAATATTTATATTCTTTTCAGCTCACAGCACCTCTCTGTGTTTGCAGTGAGGAATAAGAATGATTTCCTTTCTCCAATTATCTCTTAACCTTCTTAGGCATTTTTTTTGTGTGTTTTCTCTGCCAAAAGAAGTCCCCAACAACTTTGTCATAAAGTATTCTCCACCAGTGCTCTCTACCTCCAAACTGACAAACTTATGTTAGGGTTTTTTTTTATAACAGGACTAAATTATCTGTTAGAAGGCACCCCAAAATCAGCACTCTTCCTCCTACACATCCTTTACATTTCTTAGGGTTGAATTTTTTTTGTTAGTCATTTCTCCCATGGAGACTTTGAATACTTTATTAACAATTTGGACTGTAAACTCCTTGAGGCTAGAAAGAAACTTGCTTCATATACATCAATAATGATAGCAACTTGTGTGTGTGTGTGTGAAAATATCCTCCAATATATGTTAGTCAAGTCAAGCATTGCTTATATTAGGCTGACAAAAATAAAGTAAAGGTTTGGGGTGCTCTTTGGTGTCTCCTTCTTCTTTGAAAGCAAATGGCTTCTCACAATGAAGTCTTAGCCAAAACAATGATATTTTACCATTTTCTCTGTGCAAGGTCTCTTTCAGGCTTAAAACTAGGAGAATGAGTTTTTGCAGCTTGTATGTGATATAACCATGTGCCATGGTCTTTTCAATGGGTCACAAAGTCCTTCCCATTCCAAAAAAAGGTACCTAGTCTGCTTAGCAAATAGGAGGTAATCTATGTGTTTCCTGTACGGGCTATGGGCTTTCACCATATCTTGCCCCTACTTACAACTCCTAAATGCCTTGTCATAATCACCACTGCTTTGTGTGTATATGAAGGTGTCCTTACTGCCTGTTCCTATATGCTTTTTAAAGTGAGGATATGTGCCTGTAGATAAAGCTTTCCCTCTTGCCTTCACTGGTGCTCTGTTGCTTAGAGTTATATCGGAGTCCTTTTGCACTATATACTTATAGCACTGTGTTTTCACTTTAACAGTAATGATTGGATCCTGAGGATTTCTAAGATTCACAGTTTAGTGAGAAGTATTTAAAGTTTTCAGCAAGAAAGCTGTACTGTCTCATATAGATATTTATTTATTTATTTGCACAAAAAGTCCCAGTGTATGATATCATTTGAAAAAAGTCCAAAAAGTATTTTAATCTCAGCCATAAGGGTGAAAACTTCCAAAATTGTACTTGATTTGTTGTTCTATGCGTTCAAGTTGTTCTTGACTTATGGTGACCCTAAGGCAAACCTGTCTTGGGGTTTTCTTGGCAACATTTGTTGAGGAGTAGAGTTGCCTTTCTCTGAGACTGAGAGTATGGTTTTGCCCAAGGCCATGTAGTTAGTTTCGACGGATGAATAGGGATTCAAAACCTATTCTCCAAAGCCAAAGTTCAGTGCTCAAACCATTGCATCATGCTAGCTCTTGCACTTGCTTGCAAAAATTCAATAATATTTACAGTGTATCCTAAACCTGCTTCTAGGTCTTGAGTTGTTCACACAGGGTTACCATACTGTAGTGCCTTTTGGCCTCCAAATGTAAGTTTTCATGTCACTGTGCATTGGCAAAAGTGTCACTGAAGCGCAAATAAAAATAAGCATTTTCTGTTAGTTATAAGCTGTATACGGAGTGAGAGGGTTTGGCTTAACTGGCAGATACCTGGTTTGAAACCAAGGTGACCTGTATCCATTTTTAAAATTATGTACATGGTAAAAGGTATTCCAGATGCATATACATTATTCAGGAACCAGTGAAATTTTGTTGGTAATATGAAAGTAGAAGAATTCATATGAAAGCAGAAAAATGTAAGATATCTCAAATGTATGTTATAATAATTCCCACATCTGTATTATTACAAAATTTCACAGTGGATAGGTAATTTTGAGCAAACATAAACAGTTATCTGATTTTACACAGACTTGAACTGGCTAGGATGATGGATTTTGGTTGTGCTGTCCTGCCTTTCCACCCCATCCCAGGCCTAGCCATATTGAGCCGCAAAGTTTGAAGGGATGCTCTATGGAAAAAAATGGTTTAGGCATTGGGAAATGCTACATTATCAAAGACTGCAGTCAGAGGATCTGTATAGTGAGTTCTATTCTCATTCAGGGCAAATGTATCAAGAGCTGCTTTGGTTCTTGTCACTATAAATACAGCGGAAAAAACAATTTAATTCTGAACAGAGTTTCTGTGATAGGTACCTATTCAGATGCTGGCTTTTTTAATGCACCATTTTTTGAATGGAAGCTTGTATGTGCTCGTCAAGATTACTGGCTGGGAGAAGATCTCAGTGGAGGTTGGTGATTCCAGTGTAAATGAATTGTGAATCTCTTCAGGTTTTACTTTGAACTTCAAAGGAGCTATCCACGGTGCTGAACCCTATCCCCAAAATAGCTTTAGCACCATGGATAATTCCTTCATAGTTCAGGCTAAAAATAAGTTCAGCATTGTGGTTTACCTCCCTTAAAGTTTGGATTAATATCCACTGACATCAGAACCATCCCCTCTTCTGCAAATTTTACAGATTTAACATAATGTCTCCTTCCTTGTCCTGACCTTTCCATCAGGAGATTATTCCAGCATCATGCATTTATAAAGCTTATCTGATCCAATACAAGATGAAGCAAGTTTCTTTTTGTACACTGTTGTCTTTTTTTCTTTTTTAAAAACAATGTTTGAATTAGAACTACATCTTGGAACATGCTTTGCTTTAAAAAAAACCAACACCAACTTTTCTCATTGTATTCAATTCCAGAATCTTTTAGCTGAGAAGGTGGAACAGCTTATGGAGTGGAGTTCAAGGCGCTCAGTCATCCGCATGAATGGAGACAAATTTAGAAGATTTGTGAAGGCTCCACCTCGCAACTATTCAGTGATTGTGATGTTTACAGCTCTTCAGCCACAGAGGCAATGCTCTGTTTGCAGGTATGTTATATCCTAGGAAACAAGTTTTTCTTGTCTATTCCAGTCCTTGTCTGTTTTTATCTCTTTCCACTCCTTTGTCTTTAAAAATATTTTACTGTGAAGGTTCTTTTTTTATCTGCATAACTAACTGATCAGAATTTTAGTTGTAGTCATTGTAAAGTTAACTTTCCTCATTTTATTGATTCTTTTTATCATTTACCTACTTATTACTTTCTATTTCTACAGAAAATTTTGCTTGATTTTTCACATCCAGCTGGGTTGATGATCTTTGATGTTCTTAATTTGATGTATTTAATTATACACATGTATTATTATTATTAACCTGTAAAATATCTTGAATGGCACTCTTGGAAAGGGATGGGTTATAAATAAAATGATTGGAGAGAAGGGTTAGTTAATGTTTATATTGAATGACTTAGTTTGTTGATGTTTATATTGAATGACTAAGATTGTCAGAATTGTTTGGCACATCTTAAGTCAGCTTACAGTTTGTTTGTAACATTTTACAATGCAATTTCCATGCCTTGCACTCAGTCAGTATTGTGGAGCACATTGACCAATTCTATAGAAAGCAATGGGCCACAAAAATAAGAAATTGTTTCCTTAATTTGCACCTCCATAATCTAGATTTTATTTTTCTCCAAACAAAGCGAATCATCAACTAAGCAACCTATATCAGTTAAGCAATCAAGAGCTCTGCACACCTAACATGTTGATTAACGTTTGTGCAAATAGTTAATTGAGCCTATTATTGCATCCCTGAAACACTTTATTGTATTCATATAGCTTATGAGACCATAATAATACTTCCTTTCTTTTAATGAGACATGCATTGTTTGCATCCCTCGTAAATCCAAGGGCCCTTTGCATTCCCTATGTAATGTGAAAGGGTTGAAAAAGATTTGGACTGTAATGTGATAGGAAACACTGCAGTGCAGTAATGGACAAGGAGGTACAAACATTTTGTGTTGTGCACTGGCATCCATCTGGCCAGCATTATTGTCTGATGTTTATCAGACATTCGATCAGGTAGGCTGCATCTTTGATCAAACCACTTTTTACATTACTTTTTGTACAATTCTGAGTTTGCTTCATATAGCATTATTCGTTGCATTCTTTTCAGTTTGTTTTTTAAAATGCATGATCTAATTGGCTTGTGAAATGGAACGTGGTCTTTTGTTTGTTGCTAAGAAACTGTTTACTCCTTTGGATGATGAAGTTCAGAAATAATGAGAATAACTTAACTGGTTGTTATTACAGTTATTAACTGAATAGCCAGCAAACAGGTTCCCTTGTGTCAGACTGTGTAGAAATGTTTTGTTACTAGAATTTAATACTGTATAAACATTGCCATTTGCTAAGAGAATATCCATTATTGCAGTGGGAAAATGACTTAAGGTTCATCCTGTTGGATGTCATAGACCCTGAACACGTCCCATTAATTTCAGTGAAATTCATTTCCAAGTAAATATTAGGACCGCAGGCATAGTCATTTCAGCAGAATGCAGCCGGACATCTAAAATAAGAAATAATTAATTCATTGCTTCGAGTTCAAAACATTTAAAATAAATGTGAAATTGAGATCTGGCTTTGCTGTAGGGCATAACGTGAATTAAATGAATTGGATTATGCTGCACCTGAAAAATAATAACAGAAAACCAAAGTCATTCAAATTGTCAAGTAATTAAAAGTGAGGAGTTCTAAGTATATACAGAAGGTGAATTCCTTACTCAGTATTCAGTGTCTAGCCCAAGTTTTTAAGAATATGAATGTAAAGAATGCTCAGAAATATTCTTCAGAACAATTTTGTTAAAACTTTTTTTCAGCCGCACTGGGTTTTTTGGGGGGGGGGGGGGGGGTGGGGGATGGGGTGGTGATGGTATCTTTTTTGTCAATTTTTAATGAGTGCTTAAATTCATTTTAAATATATATATATATACATATATATTCACCCGAATGTCCTAGAATGTTAAACAGAATCGTTGAAACATGAACAAAAATGCTCATAATCTCACTTAGCTGGTAGAAATCTTATAAAAGTGTTCATTCTTGCAGGTGAGAATGAAATAAGTAAAGATCTACATTCCCAATTGTATACAAAATTAATATTCACTGATTCCAATTATAACTCTGCTTTAGTATTTGTTTCATTCAGCTGGCAACAAGTTTTCAGAGTAATTGCACACCAAATATAATGTCAACATTTCAAGTGTGAAGTGAACAAACATTTGGTAGAAGTGTTTCCTGTCCTTTCCTGTCCTGTACCATAAGCAGAAAATATTTTTTTTATGGCACAGGAAATTTTAACAGAATTGTATTGTTGTTTTGCTCCTGCCCCCCCCCCCCCCCAATCTCTTGGTGCATCATTTCTATGAGCAGCTTAATGGTGGCCCAGTAAGTTTTTCTTAATTGTCCCCAGACCTCTTTATACATTAATTGTATAGAATCTTTAAAATGGGCAGGATTCTGTTCTTCTGGTTTGTATCCGACTGTAACTCCAATCACTCCAAGCTATCCTAGCCAAAAGTGACTAATAATGAGAAAATATGCAAGTCTCTTTGAAAAGGTTGTATGCATTTTTAAGAAGACACTGGGAAATTCTTTAAGTATTCAATCAATTGTAATCCAGACCACCTCTATAGAAAAATGCTTGAAATGTATACAATAGAATATTTATTTATGCACATAGACAGACAAGCTAAAGATGAACATGCATAGATATACATATTTGAGACAGTAACGAGTGGTACTTAATTTTTGTAAGAAAATGAGAGTCATGGTTAAGACTGTCTTCCCGCATTTGTCTTTTCTGTGATCATCCCACTGCATACTGAGCACAGAAAGTTGTTTACTGAGATTTTCATTTTGTTTTTTTCCCCCGAGAGATTTTCAGAGTTGAAGACAAACTTTGTGTATAGGCGGCAGATACTGCAGTCTGAAATAAAGTGGGTGTGAAATGGTTAGAGAGCCAGGCTTCAGTGTTTGCCATTGATCCTTGCCCCTCCCAGAGGCAAGTACAAGGAGAATAAATTATGAATAGACTTGCTTAATTTGCTTGAACATCCTCAGGCTGCAAGTATATTTTTTCTTCTTTTTCCCTTTTCCCTTTCTTCCCCCTGATAAACTAGGAATACTAGACCATGACACAATAGGGCAGCATTTAATTGTATGCCTTTCCACTTGTCAAAAAGTTCTTCCTTAGGTCATCTGAAGTTATTCCCTCCACCATGCCTTGGATGTCTGCATTAATGAAGGCATTCGGAGCACCAGTTTGGTCTGTCCCTTATCATTAAGGTTCAGTTGATCATCTGGGGGCTGATCATTCAGTCCATGAAAATTACTTTCTTCCCGTCTCCTATTCTATCAGGCACCTAAGTGAGACTATCAATTTTTCTCTGCAAAACTGGTGGGAAAGCTACCTCTTCTTAGCGAAATGCTGCTCTTCAGGCTATTAACTGCTGTTGCACAAAAGTTTGATTGTATCTGTTCAAATAAACTGAGAAAAATTAGAAAATTTCTAGGAAATCTCTAAAAGTGCATCACCAGTCTTAACTGTAACAGAGTCTAATACCCAATCTCTTTTCTATGTCAGCTATGTCAGTGCATACCAGTTATTTTCCCACATATTCTGTATTCTCTGGTCCTTTTTTCTGGGTATTCTTTGCAAGGCTACTACATAGGCCTTCAGGGGTTTGCTGTGGAAAGTGTGTGTGTGTGAGGTCTTGCTCATAGAAACATACTGAAATTGAGAAGCTTCCTGGATGCCTTAAAACCAAGTGCAACTTAGGATGGGTCCAGCTTCTCCATTTGTAGATCTTAACTTATAGGGTTGGAGGTCAGGGATTAGACCTGTGGTGTCAAGTCTTGGAAACTCTCAGAAGGCTGTGAAACAGCATGTGGACAGGGTTTATTTCTGTCCACAAGCTGAGGTACAAGGCACAAGGTTTAGAGTAGGCATGGGAATGGTGCAGTCCTTCACATATTTAGGAGTTGGACCTCTCATCATTTCTTCTTATTAACTCTTCTCATGCTGCTGGGATCTGCAATTCAACATCAGGAGGTCCACAATACTTCCCTCTCTGTTCTTAGGATTCATCCATCTTTGGAGTCAGGAGAATGGTTATTTATAACATTCAAGTCTTTCTTGGTCTTATCAGAATATATGAATTTTCCCTATTCTTTTATTCAAAGAAGACCTGTTGCTTTCTATCTACCCACAAAATCATTTGTATTATTATCAATATTTAAGTCCCCCCCCCCACCAAAAAAATAAACCCAGATTGAGAACACATTATTGTGTGCCTTCAAGTAATCTTTGAGGGTTTGCTCTTGCCTTCCTGAGAGAGTATGATTTGCCCAAGGTCACCCAATAGATTTCCATGGCTGAAGGGTGATTCAAACCCTTCTTTCTGGTTGTTCTAGTCCAACACTTAGATGACCACTGTGCTGGAACAAGTACAAATGCAAATTTCAACACTAAAATATAATTAAGTTATTCACAATATGTAAAAAATACCCATGCATTTCAAAAGAATAAAAAGCAGTTTAAAATAGCTCAATAAAACAATACATCTTTTTCTTTAAAACAGTCCCCTCAGGGAGATAGGTGCGGGATATAAATAAAATTTTATTATTGATATATTACAAAAGCCTTCCATTCTAAAAACATCTTTTTCTGCTGATGGAAGTCCAGCAAGGAGAGGACCTTTCCAGTATCACTAGGAAGAGAATTCCAGAACCTAGAGGCAGCCATTTCAGAAATCATATCTCCTGATTCTCAAACCCAGCTATGACTCTGAAGGACTCAGCAAAAAGCTTCTTCTAAAGATCTCAGGCCACAGACAGGTTCGAATGGAGACGTGTGAAATCTTGAAGATCCTTTCCTGTTTCTTGACTCAGGAGGAGAAATGAAAGAGTCAAAGTCATTAAAATTTTTACTTAACCAGTAGTACTCACTTGAACACAATCCAGTATGAAATTCATTGCATGACATTATTGTT